CATATGTTTTTATGGCCCCATCTTAATCTATTAACAGAGAGTTTATTGAACATATAGTATGTAAATACTGCCATGCCAAGTGCTTTGTGAGAATAAGATTTACCAGAAAAAATTTAGAGACTAAGACATAATAATAGCTTGCTGAACTCTATGGTTCATTGAGTAAATAGAAATGGCAGTTCAAAGAAGAAAGAACTCAAAGGAGATTTTTTTTTTTAGGGCAGAGTATTACTAATTACATTTTTTATTGTGCCATCATTTGTTTTTTGCTTTTGTTTTTTAAAAATTTCAGAACTTCAGAAAAGTAGGAATAATACAGTAAATATTTTGTAACCTTTGCCTAGAATCTAATTTGCCACATTTGCTTGATCTTTATATGTATACATATACACTTAACCCACTTTTTTTTTTAGCCGTTTGATTTAGTTACAGAGGCCATGACAGTACACTCCTGAATACTTCAGCATGTATCTCCTAAAAACAAGATAATTCCCTGTTTAACCACATATAATAATCAAAACTTTGGAAATTAAACATTGACACAATATTCTTATAGTCCATATCCAGATTTCCCAATATAATTATGATGGAGTTTTTTTTTTAATTTTTTTATTGTTATGTTAATCACCATATATTACATCATTAGTTTTTGATGCAGTGTTCCATGATTCATTGTTTGTGTTTTTTTTATCCCAAAAAGGTCTTGCATATATTTAGTTGTTTCTTTAGTCTCCATCTACAATAGTCTTTTTTTGGTCTTTCATGACATTCTCATTTATTCAGTCTAGGCCAGTGGTTGGCAAAATATGGCCCATGGGCTGACCAACTGTTTCTATAAAGTTTTTTTTGAAAAATAGCTATACTCAAGATGCACGTGTTGCCTCTAGCTGCTTTTGCACTACAGGGGCAGAGTTGTGTAGTTGCAACAGAGACTGTGTGGCCCACAAGCCTAAAATGTTTACTACCTGACTTTTAGGAAGTTTGTTGATCCCTAATCTAGGCAGTTGGTTATGTATGACCCTCTTTTTGAGTTTGCTGATTGTTTCTTTAATTATATTCAAGTTGAACTTTTTGTTTTTTGGTTTTTGTTTTGGCAACAACACTACATTGGTATTGTTATAGCCTTCTCATATACTACATCAGGAGGCACATGAGGTCAGTTTGTCCTATTCTTTGTGATGTTAAGTCTTGGGGGCATTTTGTAATAAAGGATGACTTCATGAAAGAAATGATGTTTTAAACTAATCCTCAAGGATAGGGTAGTATTTGAATAGGTGGAAAGATTTTTCTAGTAGACCTTGTCTGTAACATTCTTCTGTTCCTGCTTCTATTAATCCTAAATTAGTATTTTCATCCATTCATATGGCTGGAATGATTGATAGCTTAACAACGTATTGATCTGTTGGTAGCAGTCAGAACATTATAGGTTTTCTCCATACAGTCTCTACCTTTTATTTATTTGTTTAATTTTGCAATGGTAATTGTCTTTTATCTTACACTGTGTCCAAGAAGTCTGTAAGCAAGTTTTTTTTTTTTATTTGTATAGAGTACTCTAAAGATTTCTGTCTTCTCTTGGAGCTTAATAAAATTTTATTTGTCTGAAAACCAGAACCCCAGAAGTATTGCATTCCAGAAGCAAATGTTGGGAATGAATATAGATTCACTTACTTTTTTTTTTTTTAAGTAGCTGAATAGATCATTTAAATGAAGTACTAGTTTATTTAGATACCATCATTTATGTCATTGTGGAAACATTAGTTGCTGAAATAAATGGATTGAAAAAAGTGCATGTTATAGTAATATATGTAATAATGTTGGCAATATTAGCAAATGGTCCAAAATTGCTTCCATATGGTTCCTTTATATTGTTAATACAAAAAGAACAGCTTCCAACTGGATGTCAAAACCAAAGATGAACATGTTTATAGAATTATCATAGCCATAATTGAATGTCATTCATAATAGTGGAATTATATGTGCTGTCGAGGAAAGGATAATTGTTAAGTATTCAAGGGCATCTTATTCCACAAGTGAAGAATTCCAACAAGGAAATGATCTTTTTAAAAATGTCACGAGCAAAAATATAAGAGTTAATGAGTTATTTAAAGGTAAAAATGAGGCCTTTTATTTAGAAATGAAGCCTTTTCATCAGGGAAATCCAAATCAAAACCTCAATGAGATACCACCTCACACCCGTCAGAATGGCTAAAATTAACAAGTCAGGGAACGACAGATGTTGGCAGGGATGTGGAGAAAGGGGAACCCTCCTACACTGTTGGTGGGAATGCAAGCTGGTGCAACCACTCTGGAAAACAGTATGGAGGTTCCTCAAACAGTTGAAATTAGAGCTACCATTCGATCCAGCAATTGCACTACTGGGTATTTACCCCAAAGATACAAATGTAGGGACCCGAAGGGGTACGTGCACCCCAGTGTTTATAGCAGCAATGTCCACAATAGCCAAACTGTGGAAAGAGCCAAGATGTCCATCGACAGATGAATGGATAAAGAAGATGTGGTATATATACACAATGGAATATTATGCAGCCATCAAAAGGAATGAGATCTTGCCATTTGCAATGACGTGGATGGAACTGGAGGGTGTTATGCTTAGTGAAATAAGTCAGAGAAAGACATGTATCATATTACCTCACTGATATGAGGAATTCTTAATCTCAGGAACAAACTGAGTGTTACTGGAGTGGTTGGGGGTGGGAGGGACGGGGTGGCTGGGTGATAGACATTGGGGAGGGTATGTGCTACGGTGAGCGCTGTGAATTGTGCAAGACTGTTGAATCACAGATCTGTACTTCTGAAACAAATAATGCAACATATTTTAAGAAAAAAGAAAAAGAAGAAGATAGCAGGAGAGGAAGAAGGAAGGGGAGTAAGTCAGAGAGGGAGACGAACCATGAGAGATGATGGACTCTGAAAAACAAACTGAGGGTTCTAGAGGGGAGGAGGGTAGGGGGATGGGTTAGCCTGGTGATGGGTATTAAAGAGAGCACATTCTGCATGGAGCACTGGGTGTTATGAACAAATAATGAATCATGACACACTACATCAAAAACAAATGATGTAATATATGGTGATTAACATAACAATAAAAAATTTTAAAAAAGGATAAAAGGAAAAAAAAGAAATAAAGCCTTTTATTTACTTATGCTAGGAATCATTTTCTAATTTTTATTTTTTATTTAAGAAATTTTTTTAAAGATTTTATTTATTTGACAGAGAGAGAGAGACAGCAAGAGCAGGAACACAAGCAGGGGGAGTGGGAGAGGGAGAAGCAGGTTTCCCGGGGAGCAGGGAGCCCAATGTGGGACTTGATCCCAGGAGCCTAGGATCATGACCTGAGCCGAAGGCAGACACTTAACAACTGAGCCACCCGGGCTCCCCTCATTTTCTCACTTTTAAAGAGAAAGAAACCTAGTCCAACATCCTTGCTTTTTTACTGGATTTTGGTAGCATTTGGATTGTATTTAAGAATTTGAGAAACTGTATTTTTCAACTTCAGATAAATTGTCAAAATCAAATTTCTGTTCTTACAAAGCAAAGGACTACTGGAACATAGTTATCATTCTTTTATTTTTTTAAGATTTTATTTTTTTATTAGAGAGACAGACACACAGCAAGAGAGGGAACACAAGCAGGGGGAGTGGGAGAGGGAGAAGCAGGCTTCCTGCGAAGCATGGGGCCTGATGCAGGGCTCGATCCAGGACCCTGGGATCATGACCTGAGCCAAAGGCAGACACTTAATGACTGAGCCACTCAGGCACCCCATCACTCCTTTTTGAAGGATAGTTTTGCTGGATATAGAATTCTTGGTTGGCTGTATATTTTTTTCAGCATTTGAATGTCATCCTACTACCTCTGACCTTCATTATTCCTAATGAGAAGTCAGCTGTTAATCATGTATAATCAGTACATTAAGTAATGATTTTATGAAACCAAACTTACTCAATATTATTTAATATTTATGGCATATGTGTGGTGTAGCAGGCATTGTACTGTGAGGAAAGACAGACATGGTCATTCTCACAGTTTATGAATCAAGAGAGAAACCATGACTTGTCAAAAAAAAAATTACATAATCATGTGTATAGTTACAAACTGTTAAGTGCCAGGAAAGAAAGTGAAAGTTATGTCTAATGGGAATGGGTGATGAATGACAGACACGCTCCTGAGAACTGATACTGGAGCTGCAAGCTGAAGGTGACTGAAGGAGTGAAATGGGAGAAGGGGGCTGAAGGAGCAGCATGGAGCATTGGAAGGACTAAGGAAAGGAAACTGTGAAGCCAGAGCCTGGTGAAGGAAAGGGTGGTACAGAAATGAAGCTGTAGAAGTAAGCAGGGAATTAAAATGCTCATTTTAAGAAATCTTCATATGTTATAATTGGAATTTATCAAAAATAACTTGGAAATAATTATATGACAAAGTTATTTTTAATACCAGATTTCTCTGTTTCATAAAAAGTCATCATAGATAAATCAAGATGTTTAAAGTTAATGAACTATAGTTCTTAACTGAAGATTAATCAGAAATTAAAACAAGACAGCTCCAAAATAATCATGTTGTGAAAATGATTTGTTTCCTACTTACTAAAACACTGAAAGTTTTCATATTTTACTTTTATTATTCCCACATTAAATACCTGTTACCACTTTTTATTTAATATATAATCCGTGACACTCTTTTCCTTCTCTTACTGTTGCCCAAGAAAAATAAAGACAATATTGTTTTGGGTATTGGAAGTTTATATCAGGAATGAATGCTACCTTATTTATTGTAGAAGTGTCGTACATATGTAAAACCTTCCATTGTTTTTGTGTTTTTTGAGGGAGGAAGCAGTAAATTAAAATTCATGCATGATAGCACTCAAAAAGCAACTAACCAACAAATGAGGCTCTATTTATTAAAAAAATAATGATTTCTTTATTTACCATCTTGAGTCATTAAAATATTTTTATTATAATTGTAGTTGTTTATTTTCATTTCAGGTGGAGGACTGTGACGCCAATTGGACATCCTCTACCTGGAACGCGATTTATTGCTTTTAAAGTTCCTTTGAAGGGAGTATGTATATTATTTTCTCATCTATTTTATGAGGAGAATTGGGACTAATGAGATCCGTGTTTACTTAAGATTATGCTGTTTTTCATAAAAATATGTGAAATTTCCAGAAAACGTTTGATATTATGGAAGTAACAGTAAACTTTTTCACACATGTAATTATTAATTGTTCATGCTAGTGTAAGGGAGTAGTTTTGGATTAATTTTTTAATAACAGCTTTATTATGTAATTCACCTATTCACATTCACCTATTTAAAGTATACAGTGGTTTTTAGTATATTCACGGAGTTGGGCAGCTGTCACTACAACTTTAGAACGTTTTCATCACCCTCACTTCCTCCCAAAAACCCATGGACAGTGGCAGTCACTCCCCTTTATCCCTCATTCCCACCCCCCACGTCCTAGACAACCACTTTCTGTCTTCATAGATTTTACTGTTCTGGACATTTCATATAGATGGAATGATATAATATTGTGACTGGTTTCTTTAGCATAATGTTTTCAAGGTTCACCCATGTTGTAGTGTGTATCAGACTTCATTTCTTTCTATTGCCAAGTTGAATTTTTTAACGGTTCAACTTATTAAAAGCATTTAACAAGATTAAATACTTTTTGAAAGAAAGTATCTTGAATCCTAATGTTATTTCTGCTTTTTATATTTTGACCTATTTAAAAGTTATATAACGCTCTGGTTCAAAGATAAAGATAGATAACTTTTGAGTACCCCCCCCACAAAAATCAGCATTCCTTTACGAATTTGTCAAATCTTTTGCATAGCATTTCCTAAAAAAATCAAAAGATACTTGAAACTCATTGCATGTTTTATATGGCCTCAGATCCATGACAGCTTTAGTTTCTCCTACTTGCTCTGACATTGGGAATGTGTGAGCACACAGTTCAGAATCTTTTATACTGGCCTCCTAATTTAACTCAGATTTTTCTCTTTCACAAGTCTTTAAGTTACTTCCTTAATATATTGAGAAGTAACTTTAAGTTACTTTTTAAATATGCTTAATATAATTAATACTTTAATTCACATACTATAAAATTCATCTTTTTGAAGTATATAATTTAGTTTTTTTAATATATTCACAGAGTTATGTAATCAATGACATTAATTCCAGATCATTTTCATCCCCTCAAAAAGAAGCCCTGTAACCATTGGTAGTCATTCCCCGTTTCCCCTCCCCCTGGCCCCTGGCAACCACTAATCTACTTTTCTGTGTAGATTTGCCTATTCTGGACATTTCATATAATGGAATCATAAAGTCTGCAACCTTTTGTGACTAGCTACTTTAACTTAGCATGTTTTCAAGATTCATTCATCTTGTAGCATACAGTTCATTTCTTTTTATTTCCAAATTGATTGCGTATAACATCCAGTGCTATATTGAATTAATTTTTTAGAATTGTTTATATTTGGCTCTGTAGTACATTATGTTAACTAATTGTTTTTATTAATCATATAATACAAAAATCAAATCTGTTGTACAGTCAGCACACACCACTGAGAGCAATAACAAATACAGCAGTCTAGAAGAATGCTGGTAAGTTTATAGACGTTGACCAAAACTATAGATTTATCTCCAGACAATCCATATATAACATCTGATAACATTTTAAAAATTCTACACTCTGTTTAATATAAACATGGAAACTTAGAACCTTTATATCTGGGAGAAAAACAAACATTTAATCAAACGAGTCAGACTGGTATCATGAGCTGGATAAGGTAAAAATTTCTGGGTTAAAATCTTGACTGCCATCTAGACTGTGATGTTGGACAAGTAATTTAACTTTTCAAAGCCTCAGTTCAAATGAGAACTCTACTACAAAATTATTTTTCACTAGTGGTTAATACTTTATTCAAACTGAATTTGGTGCAAGAAAATTCCAGTGGATCCAAGCAGGACAGTCCGTTTTTGAAATGTTCCGAGTCCTTGGTGACAGGACATATGTAAAATCACTGAAGCAAATGATGTAAATATGTTTAGGCTCTTTTCACAGCTCCAATTCATTATGAGCTTTGCCAGTGTTCTTAAAGCTATGACAGTTTTCACTGATTCTTTTTGTCTTATGTTTTTTCTCTTCCTTGTTTGTTTTATGTTAAGTACATTTTATCTGTATTTCATAACCTTACTTTCATTTTTCATTATAGGCAGTTAATCAGAGACTTACTCCAACCCAGAAGTTTACACCAAAGGATTTGATTAGTGCAATAAAAGCATTAAATGTGGAGCTTGGATTAATTATCGATCTAACATACACCACAAGATATTATGAAGTTAAGGTAAAGTTACAGATGTATTTTGTTATCATAGATATGTCTTGAAATAGAAAAGATTTTTTAATACTGCATTTAGAAAGTAACTCTCATGGTTATTTTAATACAAATTTCAGAATTTCTCGTGTAATTTCTTCGAAATCTTCTTAATTCTTCACATAATCATATAATACCTTTTTTTCTAAAATCATGGATTGTGCAGAGAGGAAAAAATGGAATATTTTTCTTCTGAGAGAACAAATATGTAGAATAAATTATTGTAGATAGAAATAAAAAAGAAAAGCACCAAAGGAGTAAGGAAACAGGGAAAGAGTAACATGATAGAAAAGAAAGCAACAGAAAAAAAATAAAAGAAAAAACATGAGATGCATATTACTGTACAACAGCGTTTTATGAACTTTTTTTTGCAGCAAAATCTTTTCAATTCTTGCTCTGAAGCCCATTATATAAAGCAGATAAACAGGGAATTGTGCTGGCTGAAGCAGAATATTAGCATCCACTAGGCCTCCTCATCCTCCAGTCCTACCCTCCCTGTCCTGAGTCTTAGCAACATGACTTAGCTAAGGGCTATGGAGAGCAAGAGAATTTTAAAACCTTGTTCTAGAGGAGAATAACTCTTGAGCCTTGCTATTCAATTGGATTAGTGCCATCAAAGATGTCATCTGTCATTCCTGCCCTGATTAGGTGACATTTAGTCTTGGATATCTTGCTGCCCTGTCAAATTTCAACATACATATAACTAAACACACCATCATTTCTTCCTTTTTTTTTTTTTTTAAGATTTATTTATTTATTTATTTGACAGAGAGACAGCGAGAGAGGGAACACAAGCAGGAGGAATGGGAGAGGGAGAAGCAGGCCTCCCGCTGAACAGGGAGCCCGACGCGGGGCTCAATCCCAGGACCCTGGGATCATGACCTGAGCCGAAGGCAGACGCTTAATGACTGAGCCACCCAGGCACCCCCACACCATCATTTCTTTACTTCTATACGACTCCTTCCCAAAAATACAAATTCGCAATCTCTTCAGCTTTCCTGTTTCTCCTGAAAGCACCACTACTGAGCCTATCAGTCAGGTTCAAATCACCTGAGTCCTGTGTCTTCTGGGTACCCGACATCAGGTCAAGGACTAAACCCTATAGATTTTTTTCTTCTTAAATGTGTCTCATATTCTCCAGATCTTTTACCTCATTATTCAGTAGCTAGCCTTTTTTATCCTTCTTTGACCAGTTGTGCCTAAACATAATTTTCATGCCCACTCCAGGTCCTTCCTAAAAAAACATCTCAGTTCTCTCTGCCCTCCCCACTGTTTGAATACATCACATCTAAACTCCTCTCTCTGTTTTTCAAGGCCCAATTTAATCTGACCCCCTTCTCATCATGCTCTTCTGTTTCTTACACAAATCATCTCCACTATCTCGTGAACATTCTTGATTCTGTGCCTCAAGTCATTCCAGATACTTGGAATTTTTTTCTTTCCCTCCCTGTCTAAAACTATACCTATTTTTCAAGGCCTAACATTTACAGCTTCTCCTGGACTCTTATGCAATTTTTTTATTTTATTTTTTTAAATTTTTTCTTGTTATGCTAATCACCATACATTACATCATTAGTTTTTGATGTAGTGCTCCATGATTCATTGTTTGTGCATAACACCCAGTGCTCCATGCAGAATGTGCCCTCTTTAATACCCATCACCAGGCTGACCCATCCCCCACCCCCCTCCCCTCTAGAACCCTCAGTTTGTTTTTCTTTTCTTTTTTTTTTTTAAAGATTTTATTTATTTAATTGACAGAGAGAGAGAGACAGAGAGAGGGAACACAAGCAGGGGGAGTGGGAGAGGGAGAAGCAGGCTCCCGCCGAGCAGGGAGCCCGATGCGGGGCTCGATCCCAGGACCCTGGGATCATGACCTGAGCCGAAGGCAGTCGCTTAACCAACTGAGCCACCCAGGCGCCCCCTTCAGTTTGTTTTTCAGAGTCCATCGTCTCTCATGGTTCGTCTCCCCCTCCAACTTACTCCCCTTCATTCTTACCCTCCTGCTATCTTCTTCTTTTTTTTTTTTCTTAACATATATTGCATTATTTGTTTCAGAAGTACAGATCTGTGATTCAACAGTCTTGCACAATTCACAGCGCTCACCATAGCATATACCCTCCCCAATGTCTATCACCCAGCCACCCCATCCCTCTCACCCCCCACCACTCCAGCAACCCTCAGCTTGTTTCCTGAGATTAGGAATTCCTCATATCAGTGAGGTTGTATGATACATGTCTTTCTCTGATTGACTTATTTCACTCAGCATAACACCCTCCAGTTCCATCCACGTCGTTTGTTATGTGATTTTTTGACATATAACTGTTCAAAGGTCATTATCCTTATTTTTCCAAAACTATTATCTGCTCCTAGGATCTGACAATATGCATTTATACTCATCACCAACCTTGATATTCTTTAGATGAATATTGTTAGTTGATTAATTGATTTTACTTAAATGATGACATTAGCCCTTCTCTTTTTAGGGTCTCCACTTTAGACTCCCTTGCAAACTTAAGAATGAGTCAGGGAACAGGCTTACTACATAGCCTAAGCTGATATCTTGAATTGTAACACCAACTATGGCGTTAACACTTTTACGATTTTTTTATTTGTTCATTTGAGAGAGAGGGAGAGACAGCACAAGCAGGGGGAGAGGCAGAGGGAGAGGGAGAAGCAGACTCCCCACTGAGGAGGGAGCCCAACATGGGGCTCAATCCCAGGACCTGGAGATCATGACCTGAGCCAAAGGCAGATGCCTAACCATCTGAGCCACCCAGAAGCCCCTGGAGTTTACACTTTAAGCTTGTATATTAGGTTGAACCTGTGTCTGCTTAATCATTTGAATCCTTAACTCATGATTGTCATTGGCCAGTAGGAATTGGGCTTCTTTTATAGCCTCTTTTCGTGTAGACTACAAAAGAGTTCCACAAAAATAGGGGAACCTGGATAGCTCAGTCAGTTGAGCTTCCAACTCTTGATTTCAGCTCAGGTCACCATCTCAAGGTCATGAACTTTAGCCCCATGTCAGACTCCATGTTTAGCAGGGAGTCTGCTTGAGATTTTCTTTCTCCCTCTGCCCATACCCCCACTTGCCCGCGAGTGCTCACTCTCTCTCTTTTTCTCTCTCAGAATAAATAAAATCTTTAATAAAAAACAAGAGAGTTCTACACAAATTGATCTAAAGTGTGCCTTCAGTAAAATCATTGTGCCTGATTTAAAAAATACGGAATGGTAAGTTTCATTAGGTTGAAGAATTTGTTTTTAATAACTTATAATTGTTGTATTCTGTATCCTTTGTTTCTAGGATTTACCTAAAAGTATTCATTATAAAAAACTTTATACTGTTGGACTTGAAGTCCCTGACAATGCTACTATTCTGCAGTTCAAAAAGTGGGTCAGAAAATTCCTGTGGGAAAATGCAGAAAATGGTAATTAATAACCTTTAATGTAAACAAAATGTTTTTATTTAATTGACAAAGATTATTTTAATAGAAATTATTGTGGACCACTTAAAGATGATATACATATTTCGCTTAAATACTTCTAGTTAAAAGGACATTATCAAAGATTTCCCTTTAGATTGCAATGTATGCACGCCCCTCACTTAAAGAAAACTTGGTTTGGAGAAAGTAAAGCATACAGAAAAGGTACATTGGAGGATGATTCTTTGCTTTACAAATGGATTCCCTACAGCATTCCTTAAATGCTGACACTCTCAGGACAGATAAAAATATAACTCAGTATTTTAAAATTGACTTAGAAATAACTTTTCTTGAAAGACTATGTAGCAGAAAATGAGGTACATCTTAGTCTGTTTGGTGTACAGTTTGGCTTCATATAGAAAAGAAAGATAAAACTTAAAGTCTTTTGGAAAACTTTTAACTCCATGAATGTATTTTGGGGAATGTCTTCCCTAAATAAACAGAAGTATATGTAAACATGTGAACAAGAATGTTCACTGATATGTTTTTAATATTGAAATACTGGAAGACACCTAAAGGATCATTAACATGAAATTGATTAAATTATGGCATTTACATACACATAGAATAATAGGCAGTTGTTAAAAACCAAGTAAAAGAAAAATATTCAGTGATTTGGCAAAATGTTTGCGAGATATTTTTAAATGACAATGTCACTGTATAATTATATTTGTAAATAACATGAGCAAACGTATCCAAAAGGATAAACATCACAATGTTAATAGTGGCATCTGATGGTGATTTTTGTCTTCGTATTTATACTTCCTGTGTTTAAGGTGTTTTTTTATAATGGAAATGTATTTCATAGTTTTAAAAGGTTGCTTTAAAAAAACAAAGTGTTATCCAAGTGTTCTCAATGCTTAGTGGTCAAGGACTTACCTTTACCTCTGGTAGAGTCTTCCTCGTAGACTGGAAGACCTCAGAGGTGATCCGGCCACATGAGCATCTTCACGCTAGTGATTTCCTGTTTGTCTGGGTCATAAGAGCTACTAAACTTCAAAATTCATAAACTAGAGGGTACCTAGGATTAGTCTCAGTGGCTCATAGATGCTATTTATGGATAGCATGGCTATAGCGTAGATTTCTCTGATGACACCTACACTCTTCAGATTTCTCATTCTCTTACTCCCACTAGATCTGATTCTCTCTGGACTCCTTCCTTTCTCTCCCTGCCTATTAGTCCTTCTGGGTTTCTTTTATGTCCCTTACCCTGCCTGCCCCACTGGCTGATAAAATCAACTCTGTTTTCCCAACACTTTTAGTTTTCTTAACTTCTCTCTTCTCATTGTCCTTTCCTTGTACCTGAGCTAAGTAATTACAATAAATACCAATTTTCCTTTACTTTCCTGCATCAGTCTTCTGAATTAAGGAAATTTTTTACACCCGGAAATATAAAAAGGACAAGAAACCCATTTTGGGGGTAAATGAACAGAAAGAAAAGAATGAGGTTGGTATTGCCTACCTAGTTTCCTGGACTTAGGGAAGAGGCCTGCTTCTTCTTGGGAAGTGGCTTATTTCGGATGCGTTGCTCACGGCTCCCCTTGAACCAGCTGTACAGTAAGAGCCTGAGAAGTAGAACTGATTTCAGGGTTTCAGGCTGATGGGAATGGTTACAGTGCCAGCTGCACACAGCAGTCTTAATCTGAACCCACAGGTTCTACTTCTTACTGCGTCTGTCCCAACAAATCAAAAACAGCTTCATAAGCTTATTTTCCCCAAAGACTAGGCAGAGGGGAGAGGGGCTAATTGCTATTAGTTAAACTATTTATCTTAGGAAGACAGATTTAATGAATCTCTAGATACTACTCGGCAGTGTAAAGTTATATTTTAGTCTGTGGTACCAAAAGTTTGTGATGCTTTGGGTACTAGAACATTGATATGATCTTAAATTCTTGATTTTAAAAACCAAGTGGAGAAAAAAAATCTGTAAAAAGAAGATTTCATATATAGACTGAAAAGATACTATTAAATAACAAAAATTCAGCTGAGTAACTTAAAGATCAAATTGGCCTTATTCAATGATTCATGAAATGGGCAGCATCCCATCTAGCAAATAGAAAGGAGCTCCATCCAGAAAAGGAGAGGTTTTTAAATGCAGAGAGGAAATTATTAGCAAAGAACATATTGTTTTAGGTAAGGCCACCCTCCTATAGGGAACGCAAAGGGTCTATCAGATTATCTCCTGTGCTGCCCAGGAAATTCCAAGTTGACTGATGAAAAGTCACATTTCTTGGAGAAGCTGAAGCTGCACTTAGGCTAGGTATTAAATCTTGGTGAGGTTTAGCATAATGATTCCAGTTTGGGCTACTGTCTCCTTTTTAACAATACATATCCCTTTTTTATCTTTATTCCAAAAGTTAGTCACCAGTAGATCCTTAAGAAATATTTTCTAAATTCTAATGCAAAAATACTCAACCCTAGTTTAATTGAACAGTCTTTCCCTTCTCCGCATGTTAGAGAAAATACCTCCACAGTGTTGGCTGGGTGCCACCATGGGTTGATGGTTAAGGGTTTCAGCTGGGTTCTTACTGCTGCTTGGCAGTCCTCTCCCTGTCCCCAGCCAGCTCGCTCTTCTGTTTCTGAATCGTGCCTACATCACACTTCCTCAACTCAGGTGGCATATTTTCCCAATTCTCAGAGGTCCCTTTCTTACTCTCACCTGTATCTATACTCGCATATTCTTCCTTCTGCTTTCCTAGGAATAGCAGACCAGACCACTACCTCTCCTCCAATCCTGCCTTCTTCAGGACATTTTCTTCGTTTATTCTCAACTCTGTAATACCAACATGTGAACAAGCACGGGCCTCTCCTGTATCTTAAAATCATCCTCACTTCTCCATCTTGCAATCTTAATTCTTTCTTTCGTTCTCCATTTCATTCCTCTGCTGATTACACTTTTAGGAGAGTTGTCCCCACTCATTGTGTCCATTCCATTACTGTTCACTAAAGAGATTTTTATTGACTACCCATAATCTGATTTCTACAGCTCTCTAATTGTAGTTCAATTAGAAGATTGTAGAAATTCAATCTTCCATCCCTATCTTGCTTGAATCTCTGTAAGCTTAACTTCTGCTGTTCATTCCTTCCTTAAAATTTTCCTTTTGGCTTCTATGATACTGTTTTCCTCATTTTTTTTTCTATCTAAGTGTTTTTCAGTTTTCTAGCTAATAATTTCCTTTTTCAAGTTTTCTTTGCTAATAATCCACCTTCCCCCCCCACCACCACCACTTCCTCTCTGCCTTTTGTTCTACTCAAATCCTTGATGCCTACTGTTCTTAAGAATCTGTCCTGCTTTTGGCAACTGCAAAGCTGGGGAGATCCTGGATGTCAGATCGCATTGTCCTCCCAGTCCTTCCACTCCTTCCCCAATTCCCTCAATAAAATGGTTTGTTAAAAAAAAAAAAAAGAAGAAGAAGAAGCAGCCTTACTTCACTTTTCCTCATCTTCTCCTGTTTTCAACTTTGGCCCCCTAAATCTGTATCTCTAGCACAGACCTTTCTCCTGAGCTCCATGTCACTGTTCACATGCACCTTGTATCCACCAAGGGGTTCATCTGGCACCAATAAACTGAACACGTCAAAACTGAACTCTTAATCTTCCTTCTGCCCGTACCTCCCACATCTACTCTCACCCTCTCTGATCTGGGTTATTATGATGGCCTCTTGCATAGATTTCTTGCCTCTCCTCCCACCGTTCATTCCTCCAGACATCCATGAATTTATCTGTCTAAAATGCACATCTGGGGCACCTGGGTGGCTCAGTCGGTTAAGTGACTGCCTTCAGCTCGGGTCATGATCTTGGGGTCCTGGGATCGAGCCCCACGTCGGGCTCCCTGCTCAGCGGGCAGCCTGCTTCTCTCCCTCTGCAGCTTCCTCTCCTTGTGCTTTCTCTCTCTCTCTCTCTCAAATGAATAAATAAAAATAAAATAAAAGTAAAATGCACATCTGATTAGGTCATTTTCTTGCTTAAAATCCTTCAGTGGTATCCCATCTAATAAGCACCAGATTCCTTTTTTTTTTTTAATTTTTTTTTTTAAAGATTTTATTTATTTATTTGAGAGAGAGAGAATGAGAAATAGAGAGCACGAGAGGGAAGAGGGTCAGAGGGAGAAGCAGACTCCCTGCTGAGCAGGGAGCCCGATGTGGGACTCGATCCCGGGACTCCAGGATCATGACCTGAGCCAAAGGCAGTCGCTTAACCAACTGAGCCACCCAGGCGCCCACAGATTCCTTAACATGATTCTTCATGACCTGATTCTTGGCTTCCTTTCTAAAAACTTCTTTTTTATATAAGTTTATTTTTTTTTCGTAATCTCTGCACTCAACATGGCACTCAAACTCATGACTCTGAGATCCTAAGTTGCACAGTCACTGACTGAGCCAGTCAGTGCCCCTCTAAAAGCCTCCTACATTTTTTTCACGTGTGTCTCACATTATTTCCCACACAAGTGCTATCCTCCTAGCATTTGCACGCTGAACTCTCTTAAAATGTTTTCCCATCTTGTTTTTGATGAACTTCCTCTCATTTCTCAAGATTATCTCAGTGTTTCTTTCAAACTACCTCTGAAACCTCCTCTGCCCCAGTGTAAATTTAAGGGCTGTTTCTTATGTACTCTCATAACACATTGGTGTGCATTCATCATGTATTATGATAAATGCTTTGTTTACTTATGGCTCTTCCCCTACTAGACTCTGAACTCTGAGGTGCCAGATAGATTCAGCTGGAATTACCTCAGCTATCGTTGCTCAAATGAAAACCTCACCCTTGTGTGAGTGTGTATGTGTGTGTTTGTGTGTGTGTGTGTGTGTGTGTAAAGCCATATGGAGATATTTGAAAAAAATATGTACATATCAGGAAAAGTGTTTCAGATAGTAATGATTCTTCTAATATAAAAAGGCCATCAATTAGTTCTGTTATTTTTACAAAAATGAATTCCATTTCATTCAGTCTACAAAATAATGAAAACAGGTTTCTAAAGTCTCTTATTGTAACTGATTCTAAATATGTTCACCCAGAAATTTATGGTATTTGAAAATAATTTAAAGACTTGGAAATGTGGGTTTTAACCCATTGTCAGTTGAAAACAATGTCCTAACACTAAATGAATGCTTCCTGAATCTTCCTTCACACATGGTCCTGAAGAGAGGTGGCAAATCAGCTCTTTTGAGAAGTTCTGGCAATTGACAGGATAGGAAAGGTGAATGTAAGGTAAATACAAGTGAAGAAAAAAACATCTAGAGCATGAATCTTACTGAAAAATTTCCTCAGAATTGATACCCAATTTGAATATGACTCTCAAAATCCATCTTCTCTAGGGAAGTACTCAATTTTTAACCTCACGATAGGGAAACTCTTTAAGATAGGTCATTTCCACCATGCAGAAAAAGGTTCCTGGCCCATCCACAAAGGTCAGTAGATTCATCTTACTTTTAATTCTTCAACTGTGGTTTCAAATAATGTGCCTTACAGGAGAAATGGTGTCAGGTATTTCTATTAATCAGAAAGTCTTAGTACATTTCATTGAATGCAGAGGCAATTAATTAAGATCAAAGAAGTAAGTTTAAAATTATTTCTTTCTGAATAATGTTTGAAACATATTATTCATGATCATGATATAAACTTTGTCCTTCATTTGATTATCCTTAAAAATTCACCTTTTAATACAACAGGGTCAACACAGAAAGCCTGTGTCTTTCCTGAATCTTTCATAGTGTCCCTTTAACATACTAGATTTAAATTTAATGACTAAGAATTCTACTAGTGGTAGAATTTTTATTTAAAATTATATTACAGATTGTTTATAAAACGTTATTTTATTATGCTTTTCTCATCTTAATTTTTTTCATACTTTTTAATGTTTCTTTACATTTTATAGATAAACTCATTGGAGTTCATTGTACCAATGGAATTAACAGAACAGGATATCTGATATGTAGGTAAGAATGATATAGGTGCTAAATTTTCAAGTCTGTCTTCTTGAGAAGAAAATTTTAAAATTCAGGTTTACTTATCCTGTAAAATTAAAATGATATTTTTAATTCAGGTACCTTATCGATGTTGAAGGCTGGGATCCAGATACAGCAATTCAAGGTATTTTTAGAAAGTTCAGCTAAAAGCAAGGACCAATGTTATGAAAATGTCTAGTGCCATGTAAATGAATATGAATTAAAATATGGATAATAATGATTTTTTCTTTTTTATTCTAGTTACTACCTTTCCGTTAATAGCTTTTCAACTTAATACACTTTAACTAGATTTTTCGTATAGCCATTTACTCCAAAAAAAGAAAAGAAAACATGGGAACATTAAAAATTAAGGTAGTAATGTTTTTATATTAAAATATCTATAACTTTTTAGGATCTCATCACGGCTACCATAATAAATCATTTTATTATATAATCTGTTAGTTGGTGAGCGAAATCCAAGGATCTTGTCACAAAATTTATCTCATTAATTTTATTTGATCAACATTAATCCTTCATTGATTATTCTTAGCTTTTGGTGAGGCCCGTGGTCATCGAATAGATGGATGTGTGTACTTAAAGGATCTCAAAACTCGACCCATGAGAAGGTAAATTTTAAACTGGACTGTGAGTTGTATCTTATCCAAGGATCTTATTCCTTTAGTAGATTTCTTTCTTATCCTTTGCAGGTTTCTTAAATTAAAACCTTTGTTACACTCTCATTGTTAAATATAAAAACCAAAAGAAACCTAATATGCATATCATTAGGACACTCTGCTGGCCATAACTGATTTTTGTGTTAAATATATTCAGAAGTTTTAAGAAACTATCCTAAAGAATATTAATCATAGTTAAAATCTACCATTGTTACCCTGTCAAAAAATTCAGACTTTGTCATCTCCTAAATTGAGCATCATAGGGCATGGAAGAAATTATTTTGAACTGAAAAAGCTTTAAGTATACAGGTATTACCAGTCAGTCACCTTTACCATATCAGAGGAGCCTTGAGATGCCTCTCCTAAAATGGTAGTCTTTGACTTGGCAATATAGTAGATATAGCTGGAGAATGTTTTAAAAAGACAGATTCCTAGGGCCCACCATATAAACTACTAATTTAATAGGTTTAGTGTGGTGTTTAAGGAGAGAAGTTTCAGGAATTTGATTTTTAAAAGATTCTCATGATTGGGAGCCAATGTGCTAGACCATATACATTGACTAAGTAATTCATGGACTTCCAACCTTAGTAAACTGAAAAATGTACCCTTTAGTAAGTAAATGATTTGACTTCCTTGATAGAACTCTTGATCATCATCTATTATAATAGTTTGAGATTGCCTTTTAGAAATAGCAGCTCAGGGGCACGTGGGTCTGACTCTTAGTTTCAGCTGAGGTCGTGATCTCAGGGTCGTGAGATAGAGCCCCACGTGGGGCTCTGTGCTGAGTGTGGAGTCTGCTAAAGTTTCTCTCTCCCTCTTCCTCTGCCCCTCACTGCCTCACGTGCGCTCACACTCTCGCTCTCTCTCTCAAACAAATAAATAAAAAAAAAAAATTCTATCTTAGAAAAAATAGAAAAAGCACAGTTTATTTTAATAGTAAATAGATAAAAGATGCATTTACTTCTTGAGGTCTATACTGATTCATGATACTAAGACTATGTATCATCATAGAGGAACATACTTTTCTTTGGTAAGAAATCCTTTGCCCACTTTATTTAAAAACTACCTCAAGCAGGACACCTAGGTGGTTCAGTTGATAAGCATCTGACTCTTGATCTCAGCTCAGGTCTTGATCGGGGTCGTGAGTTCAGGCCCCACATTGGGCAGAGCCTACTTAAAACAGACAGACAAAAAAACCCACATCAAGCAGGGGCACCTGAGTGGCTCAGTTGGTTAAGCGTCTGCCTTTGGCTCAAGTCATGATCTTGGGGTCCTGGATCGAGCCCTGAATCGGGCTCCCTGCTCAGCAGGGAGTCTGCTTCTCTCTCTTCCTCTGCCCCTTCCGCCCCTGCTCATGTTCTCTCTGTCTCTCTTTCTCTCAAATAAATTAAATCTTAAAAAAAACTACACCAAACAAGTTACCTAGACAAAAAATTTAAGATGGGCCAGGATACAACTTGCTTGTTTATTCACTTTGAGAGTGAAATTTAGTAATTCAACAAATATTCATCGAATATCTGATATATTCTAGGCACCATTCTGGATGCTGGGGACATAGCAGCAAACAGAACAGACTAAAATATAGAGCTTATATTCTAGTTGGAGGCAAACAATAAACAATTTAAATAAGTAAAATATGTAGCTTGTGATTCAGTGTTAATTACTATGGAAGAAAGTAAACCCGGAAAGGGGAATGGAGGATGTCAAGGTGATGGTAGGGAAGGTTGAGATTTAGAAGGATCACCAAGGAAAGCCTCACTAAAAAGGTGACATGTGACTAAAGCCCTGAAGGAAGAAAGGGAGCAATCCCTGTGATTAGGTTTAACTGTTGACCCTACCCAGCGTGGACCCTGTTGTCAGCCATCTTCAATGTCCTTACCAGGACCCTAAATTTGTTCATTCCACTGACTTTCCATTTGGCCAGTATGGTAATTCCCAATTTTGGGAATTTTCAACAGCTTCCCTTCCTGAGCTGATAAGTATCATAGTCAAACTATGTTAAGTTTAGCTATAAATTAAAATTATCTAACACTCCTTTACTGCTGATGTTTGTTAAACTAGGCAGATTAAAGAAAAGTAAGTGGAGAGAAAATGCAAAGGTAAGAAAATGGGCAGTTAGAGACCACTTGTTAAAGAAATTTGGCAAGAAATGGAAAGAGGATAAACATCCATAGGAAACTGTAGGATCTGTTTGCTCATTACTATGACCATACAACAAATGTGAGTGATACTCTGACTAACCATTCCAGAATTTAAGCAGTAATATAATATCTGCTATTCTGTGCTTTAAAGTCCTTTGCAGATTATCTGCAAATACGAGACTAAGCAACATTGCCATCTTATAAAAACCACCAACTGACCGTGACCTACTTCTCCAGAGCCTTGGCCCTTAAGATCCTAGGATAGCATACGTAAATTTAAGCCAGAGACTACTGGTAGCAAAAAAACAAGAGATGTAAAGCTGTGCCCAGACTGAACTGATGCAAGAGGAAGTTACTTTTGGAAAGACTTTGTAAGTTCTAAATTTGAAATAAAGACCCAAAGTCCCTTCCTATTTGTAGTTCCATCCCTCTCCTTAACCCAGCACTATAACTGTTCACATCCATATAAGGAGAAAGCAGTGTGGATTAGAGAGAATTTTTTTGGAGAGGTTTTGCTGCCACCTTTACCTTTTTCCTGAAAATTCTTTGATCTGATCATGCTTTGTAAGACTCTTGAAATTCATGTACCAAATAGGGAAAGTAGACATTATTTACTTATATCCTTGCCTTTAGAGACTAAATTCAGAGTCTGAAGGTAATTTCTTACAAAATTCCTATGAATAAATTCAGAGTCTGAAGATATTTCTTTTTTTTTTAAGATTTTATTTATTTATTTGATAGACACCGAGAGAGGGAAAATAAGCAGGGGGAGTGGGAGAGGCAGAAGCAGGCTTCCCGCTTGAGCAGGGAGCCCGATGTGGGGCTTGATCCCAGGACCCTGAGATCATGACCTGAGCAGAAGGCAGATGCTTAACAACTGAGCCACCCAGGCACCCCTGAAGATATTTCTTATGAATGAAGATGAAAGCAAAATCTGAAAGTTTTCTGCTTCCCTTTGAGCTAATTGCTAATTCTTTTTAAAAAATAGTCTCATTATGATTAGTCACTCGTAAAAAGAAGGTATTTCTCGTTCAACTTCTTTTAACTATCCAGAATTCAGCTGGTTCACAGAAAATTCTACCTACTACCCCCCCCAAAGGATTGTATTTATTGAGAACTTTAGACTTGGAGAAAGTAAAAACTTTCTTCCAAAGCTTTAGTAAAGTTTTTGTAGCCAACTAGATTACAGCTAAATACCTCCCTGCTGTGGGTGTGAGTGCTCACTTGATGTTTTTCTTATTAGATTCACAAACACCTAATCATTGTCTACTCCACCCTTCAAAACTTAAGCTTTGAATACTTCAGAAACTCTTCACAGGGCATCATGACTATGGGCTTATTATTTTTTCTTGCCTTTTCCATTTGGGTCTTTGCTTCAGTGTGAACCTGGCTTGGCCCTAAAGACTGTACATTCTCTAAAGGGCAGCAAACTGTTTCTTAAAGAGCCAGATAGTAAATACTGTAGGCTTGCAGGCCATGTTGTCTCTGTTACATATCTGCCACAGTAGCCTTAAAACAGCCATAGACAACATAAACAAATAGGCTGTGTTCAGTAAAACCTATTTACAAAAACAAATTGCTTAGCTTCCTAACCCCTGTTCTAAACTGTTCCCATTTGCTGTGGGTTAATTTTATTTCCTTCCCTTGGTGCTGGAATAAAATACATCTGCACTTTGTCTTATTATAACATGAAGAATATGCTATACTGTTACTTTCTCCAGGTTACTATCCTGGTATCTACCTGAACCTTCTAGATGTCTTAAATACCTGGCTCACATTATCTTTTTTTTTTTTTTTTGAGTTGAGATTCATAAAACATGAAGTTAACCAATTTAAAGTGAATGATTGTGAGTGCCTGGGTGGCTCAGTTGGTTAAGCAACTGCCTTCGGCTCAGGTCATGATCTTGGAGTCCTGGGATCGAGTCCTGCATCAGGCTCCCTGCTCAGCGGGGAGTCTGCTTCTCCTTCTGACTCTCCCCCCTTTCATGCTCTCTCTCTCTCTATCTCATTCTCTCTCTCAAATAAATAAATAAAATCTTTAAAAAAATAAATAAAAAAAATAAAGTGAATGATTGCATGGTGTTTAGTACTTTTACAGTGTTGTGTGACCACCACCTTTATTGAATGAAAAACATTTTCATCACCCCAAAAGAAACCCCATATCCATAAAGCATCTGCTTACCATTAACCCCTTTCCCCAACTCCTGACAGCTACTGATCTGTGTTCTGTCCCTATGGGTTTACCTATTGATAATTCCTGTAAATGGAGTCACACAATAGACTAGCTTCTTTCACTTAGCATCATGTTTTTAAGATTCATCTATGTATAGCATATATCGGCACTTCATTTCGTGTTATGGCTGAGTAATGTTCCATTGTATATGCACTACAATCTGTTTATTCATCTGTTGATGGACATTTGGGCTATTTCCTCCTTTTAAACCTCACTTTTTATTTATTTTTTGTGATAATTATTTTTTTGTTTAAATTCAATTAATTAACATATAATGTATTGTTAGTTTTAGAGGTAGAGGTCAGTGATCCGTCAGTCTTATATAATACCCAGTGTTCATTCCATCACGTGCCCTCCTAAATGTCCATCACCCAGTTTACCCCATCTGTTTCCACCTTTTTGCTATTGTGAATAGTGCTACTATGAATATATGTGTATATGTATTTATTTGAGTACCTGTCTTCAATTTTTGGATCAATGGGTATGAGAGAACAGTGATTCTCAAATATGGCTATTTGGGGTTACTTGAGGGCTTGTTAAATGTAGACTTCTTTAGCTCACCTATACCTAGTGAATCA